ACTTGACATTTGGAGCGTCTATTCTTCAAAAATATTGGAATCTGATAAAAATATCAAAAGAATAATTTGCATAAAATAAATTGATCAAAATATTGCTGAAAAGTTTCAAAGGTATTTCGGTCAATTTATTTTATGCGAATTATTTTTTTAATAATTTTATTAGGTGCGCCTTGATGAGAAGAGTTGATGTGCTAAATTTCATGTTATTTGAATTTATATAAAAAATATTAAAATTATATTACCGAAATATATTCCTAATCGTCAGATTGACCTAGATTCAATCTGGGCTATTGGGCATATACTATTCCATCAGCTGGTGGGCTGACCCTAGTGTTTTCTATATATATATATATATATATATGAGTGAGGTTTGTATATGGTGTCAACCTTATACTATTGAAGTAAGATACGCCTCAAAACTATGCCGAAAATACAGTTTCGATGCCACAAAGCCTTGCAATGATATGAAAATCTATTGTTGCCCCCAATTATGAAATTCAAAGCTCAAGAAATGATGATGATCAAGCATATCTATAAATACTTGAAAATCTTCAAAATGGACGGTCCAGATAATCTCTTAGAAGATGAACTACTTTTAGGATTAGATATCCCTCTTTTTCATGTCTAAAAATGTTGAAGTCAAGATGATCGATTTGAGGATTTTCCAGCATTAAAACAACCTTCACTAGTGGGTTTTTTAGGTTCACCTTACCTGTATAGTATAAGGTTGAGATGTTATATAAACTTTTTCCTATATATATATATATGGTTATGTTAGGGTGCTCACACTATAGAGTATTTTATAAAGGTACTCAATAAATTTTGGACACTTATCTACCCTTGCTTTGTACTTGGAGTATTGTTTTAGTAAGGGTATTTTTGGTCATTAGGAAGGATATGATATCATCCACATGGGGTGCGACATCACACACATGGAGTATTAAATGCCACTAGTGTACTCCACTGTTATTCTGAAAAGGCATCAATTACGAGATTGCATGCGGTTTGTCAGCCGTAAGTGAAGAGATAGTAATGTGAATGGTAATAAACAATTAACCAGAAGTCAACATGGCAATGTGCTATTCAGAACCAACAATTTTCTGGGAACTACAGAACCACAAAGATAATTACAAGGTGTTAAGTCCAACGACCTCTGATGTAACATCGTTAGAAGAATGGTGTCATTTTTGCCAATTTCATGCTATCAGTTCTCGTTGATGGATCTCACAAAGTTTATCTGCGATTCTTAATCTGCCACCCAGTATGAGGAACTAAAGATTCAAATTAGCAGAAAGGATTGTGCACTATAAGCCATGGACTACAGTTTTCCAGCACTCCATTGGATCATTGTACACTTCCACAAGATATGACCATTTCAGAATATACACTAAGGTTAAAATTATTGCATAGAAAATTGCTTCATAACATAAGACAATAGTGTATATTACTACTCCAAATTGAAAGCATAGAGGATTCAGTGACTACAGTCCATCGATGACCCATGAGCTGCTCCTCTCATCAAACTGGCAGTCCACTCCACTCCATGGGTGTTGTTGAGGAACACATGGATCACCATTCCAACCAAAACGAAGAGGTAGACCCAGTGCACCTTTCAGAGTTTGTAGAGCTCGAACTGCACAACATTGAAAAATATTCATCAGCCTAAAAGGACCTTCTAAGAATTTGCTAAGAGCCAACAAAATCATCATTCAATTAATGCCACATTCAAGTGAGGATCCAGAGATAAACGTCCTGTCAAGAACTAAAACTGAAACTACTGAACTACTTTTCTTAAAGAAACACAAAAATATCATTAAAGGTTTATGCACACATTAACAAATAATTATTCTTCTTGCCTCTCAAAAAAAAAAAAAAAAAATATTCTTCTTCTGGAACACAAGTATATACACACATTATCAAACTCCCCTCTAGGAAAAATATAAATATCATACAAAGATTACATAGAGACAAAAATATCTAAAAGTTAATGTGGAATGCTCTAAACATCAATCATATCGATAAAAGTCAATCTTCATTTCTGCATAAATGGGCGCATGCATAGATAGCATGCACAGATACCAGGACCAGGAGCTGGGATATAGCCAGAATCTTCCTATTTTGGAAGCACCAAAGGAATGCCCATGTGTGTGTCATTACTCAAAGGCATAGTAGATATTTTAAAAGAAGACAGTGACATTTTGTTAGTTGTTGACAATTGTCATATGCCCTTGTGGATGATGTCACACCAGCTAAGTCACTTACATCAATGAATATTGTTTAAATTATATTTCCAACTAATGTTGAATAATTAATGTCTCTAATTAAAAAGTTATTTGAATGAAAAAGTAAGCGTAGAAAAGCACCCGACATGATGGCGCTACCTACATCTCGTGGCTTTTTGTAAATTTATACTATAAATTAATATATTTGTCACCTTGATTAAAAAAAAGAAGAAGTGAGGTTCCAATAACATGTCTGAAAATGTTGTAAAGGTTGAGAAAATACTCCACAAGATGAGTAGCCCCCAAACAAATATATAGGCGCACGCACACACGCACACACACTCTCGCACGCACACACACACACACAGAGGCAATGTTAGATAAATACCAACATGAGTGTCATGTCTAGTACATGTCTCAAGTGTCTATTACTTCAGCCTAAAAAGTAGCCAGGGTTTGATGCATAAGTTGGGGCAATTTTTCAAAAGTTTTTAAACAATAATTTTTTGTGTGTGTATAGAATGAGAGTGAGATGAGCCACAAAACAAGGGCTGCATACCCTACAGTAGATGGCCATAATTGGGCCTATAGGACCCCTTGAACTGTAAACAGGAAATCTAGCATATGTACCTTCAATCACTGAACTCTTGAACTCCATGGCAATGACCTCAAATATCTCGATGGCATTGACAATTGCACTGTTTCCTTTTGTGGGATGCAGGGTTATGGTTAGAGTCCTGCCATTCACAGCAACAGTCTTGTTCAAAACAAGAGCTGCATAGAGTCCCCCTGAAATCTTGTAAACATCAACATCTCTGAAAGCAACATCCCCATTAATTAAAATATCAAATACTCTCTTCCCTTCCCCTGCATCTCTATAGTCAATCTCCGCAAAATGTAGCCAGATCGAGTAGTTCTTATTAGGATCCACCTCTGTACTATAAGATAAATCAGGTTCGTTGTCAGTGCTCACAATTGCTGACTGATAAAGCTTTTTGGGATAAAAGTTAGGTGCAACAGAAGCTTTAGCAATGGCTTCTTCAGTGCTTATTCGAATATTAGAAATGCTATCGAAAACTGCAATGTTCTTCCAAAATCTATCACCACCCCATTGATCACCTATATAATCTTCATCAAATGCTGGCTTTCCCGCACCGCAACTCAGTCGTTTGGATGTTCTTAGGATGGTTCTTTTATCCCACTCTTGGCCAAAATTGTAAGCATTCTCATCAATTTGAAGAATTTCAATTGAAAGGATAGTTGGGTCACCATGACCAGTGCTATGGAAACACGTAGAAACAGATTTATCAGAAATAAATAGTATGGCTTCTGCAAAAGATTGTTCATCAACGGTGGTCCAACCTGATTTCAAAGAATAAACAAGTGTTCCTTCTACAGATACATCAAAGAGAGGCTCATTCTCAAAATTGGGTTCGGAAAGGAGGCCAAAGAAGATTCTCACTGAATAGTGTCCATTTGGTATGTTATTGATGGTATAACAATTCTCAGGGCCATCAGATAGAGGGAAATACCGAAGTGTATGAAGTGGGGGTGTAATGGCACTGGGAGATGAATTTGCTGGTTTTCCTCCTGTGTAACCAAAGTCTTTGAGCCAGAGGGCATTAGTGGGGCTGGTATAAACATTCTGGCGGGCCCCACAGCTTATGCGGATGGCGAATGGTTCTGCAAAAGACATTATCATTCAAAAACTGTACATCAGAAACATAAGTGAATCAAACAAACGGTACAGAATGATTGCCACACCCAAGAATATTTATAACAAGGAACAATTCAACTCAGAATACTTGGGAATGCCAAGAAACCTCAAAGATTGTAAATTTAGTGCACAGCAACTAAAACTTGACATGAAGCTGAACATAATTTATCTGTACTTCCCCTCTATCCGCCATTCTCTCATGACCCAATGAAGGGTATAATCCATATAACCTTCAAATACATTTATGCAATGGAACACAGCCAGATATCAGCACTCGAAAGCTTTTCCTAGAACATGGTTAACCATTCAATATTGCATACAATTTTATTATCAAGACTAGAAACTTATGTTACAATCTAAATTGCGCCCTTAAGGTAATCAGCAGCATTCATCTTAATGCATGAGTCAAAACAAACAAGATAGAAATTTGGTAAACAGGATAGTGTCCATAGGCTAAAGGACAAAACAAGAATACATTACATTGGATGAAGGAAGAGAAAATTTTTTACTTACAAGTATTCATGAAAACTTAAATGGATTACCAAGAACATTAGATAGGACTACTTGCAGAACCTAATTTGGGACATACGACCATTAAATTGACGGTAATGCAAGGCTTCAAAGTGCTAAGAAGAGATACCAATGGCTCAAAGAAGTACATAAGACAACCCTATACTACAAATATACATTTTAAGGACCTAACAGCACCAAAATCTACTCAGGAATAAGTGTGCCCACAAGATTTATTTATTTATTTATTTATTTTTTGACAATCCCCACAAGAAAAAATTATTTCAAAAAGAATGATCAACCTAAATCAAGTTCAGATGTGAGTATGAGACATAAGACAAACCGTATCATAACCTTAAAACACATTGCAGTACCATGTGCAGATAACTTTTGCACATAAACGCTGTCTTTAAATTTTTATGAAATCAATCATTTCTTGCTCCTTTTCTTTATATTAAGGACAACTTCTTATACAAGTAGTTATTTTGCAGACTGTTAAATTGAGTTCTAAACTTACTGAGAAGTGTCACCCTCCTCTAGATTTATGCCCATTTTAATAGCTCGAAATTGAATATCGAAGATATCCCTGGATAACATCCTGACCACACAAAGAACTAATAATCTTAAGTAAATGAAATGACTATATACTATCCCCAATCAATTGAAAGGAAGTGAACAAACATAAAACCAACAAATAAAGCAATAAAGAGCATAGGAAAGAACCCAATTTCCCAATGTCCAATCAACCCATTCTCTTCTGAAAATTTCTCTCCAGACTGTTTCGATCTCTAAAGGCGCAGCTAAAAGATAACTATTCAAATGCACGATAATTTTTTAAGAATCAAATGTACCATAATAGCCACACAAATAAATCTATAACATATGCATCACAGTGCATCATTGAGGACCTTAGGGACGCAATGGTGGGAGTATTCACCAACATTTCCAAAAGATCCACACCATTAGCTCCAAACCAATTTGCGTACTAACAACTCAGTGCTAAGATCTCACCATAGGCCATAAACTAATTACTAATCTACAAAACATAAGAATTAGAGAAGTAAAAAACAGAACTAATCCCATTGAGCAACACCCCAAAATTACTCTATTGAATAAGACCCAAATAACACACTAAATCCATTAAAAACAAGAGGAAGTGCAAGCCCAAGATTACCAACTGCTTGAAACAGCCAAGAGCAAAAAACCCACGAATTCTAATCGCTTTTCAATAAAAAAAGCATGTTCTAAGCACTTACGATTTTTCGCATTCGAGCAACTGAAGCTGAAGCACAGTAAGAGGAGCAACAAAAGTGCAAGCTTGAGCATGGTTGATTGCTATCTCCTCTGAAAATGTAGCTCACACATTATGGGAGATCCGAGAGCCTGCTAAAGTCAGAGAGCTAAAATAAGAACTGGGTTCTCTTGAAGGAGAGAGAAAGTCACAGAGGAAAGTCTTCAGCTTGTTGGGTAGTAGATTAGAGTGAGAAGACTGGTGGAGACCACCATTTATGGCAGGAATTGTGGTAGAAATTTGAGTTAACGAGTCTTAACTAAATTGAAAGAGAGAGAAAGAGAGAGAGAGAGAGGAGGTGTGGCGTGGGCGCGTGATTCACGGAAGAAATGCAGAGCACTTATTCACACTTTCCTTTGCATTTAACAAACACCGAAATAGAGTGTTAACGAACAGTCAAAAACCTCCTAGTCAACCCTATCAACTCGCGCGAGGGCTCCCTTACGGTGCGTTTGGATTTACGGAGATGCCTGTTCTAGAGATATGACTATTCTGGAACAAGCATGTACTAAAATTGGCAAATTTTGGAAGTTTGGTGTACAACATACCTAGAATTTGGCGAAGGGTGAATTACCAACGGATACACGAAAAAAAAAAAATACTAAACCGGATGATGAGTCAATTTTGGGTTAAAATTACACAGAAGGTCGATCAATTTGAAGTTTTTTATTTTTTACAAACTTATCCTTCAAGATACCATCTTTGGTTTTTTTTTTTTTTTTTTTGAGTTTTTTCACTAATAAAGTTATACCTGCGTTAATATTTGGAACAGTGCCCAATCAGTAAGTTATTAGGCATAATCGGACTACTAAGACTGACTTTGTTAAGCATTAAAAAACTGTCTGAATTGCCCTACGTGTTATTATCTCTAGATGTCTCTCTCATGGAAGAGGTTAAGTATTAGGTGTTCTAGGTCGATTGGTTGGCAGTTTAGCGAAAAAATTAGAAACCATATAGATCATTTTCCCATTAAAATAATTTAATTGTATTTGTTTTATGATAAAAATTATTTTAATATTATTATTTGAATTTTTATGAACCCCTGGATAGTTTATTTATAATTTTTAGATTTATAAAATTAAAGATATTGATTTTACAATTGTTTAAATATTCAAATAATATTTTAAAATCTTTTTATTATTGAAAGATTTTGTAGAAAGATTGAGTAGACTTATGCTACTTTATGGTATGCACAATATTTTGATTAAATTTAATTTATTTAATTTCTATTGATGAGAAAATGGTTTAAGAAATGGGGATAATGATTCATGCATATTTCATAATGTTGATGACCCATTTATAGAATGGATGACTCAGATCTTTCACCCCACAAATCACCCTTGATCGACGGTCTATGTTCAATCTCACAAGAAGAGGCAAGCCAAAGAATATAAAAAAGGATTGTCTCTACCCAAAATCTTTACACCTTATCTTTCTATTTCTCTCTCTTAAGAAAGTTTCTCTCTCATATTTGATCTCTCTCTCTCACATTGTAAAAGAATCTAAGGGTTTAGGTTATGGAGTTTTTCTCTCTCCTATCTCTCAAATATGGATTTATGGCTAATGATTTTAGGGTTTAGTAAAAAGAGAATCCATCTCTCTCAAACTAGGTAGCTAAGAGAATTCACCTAGGGTTTGAGTTTGTGATCAAAGGGGTTCATGTTCCATTGGTGTGGCTTAGTCGAAATTTGCTTTCCTAATTCGAGATTGAAGCTAGACCGTTGATCCAGTACCATCGGATGATGTTGACTCGGTGTGGGGTGTAATAAGCCTGGTTGAGTTAATCTCTGACACTCTTCATTTTGTTTCTTACAATCATATCATTTATTCTCAAGCATAATGCATAGTTGTTTCAATGACATCAAGTTGTTAAGATCTTGGTTTTGTTGTTATGTTGATTTTATTTTGAAATTTATCTTATTACAATAAAGACCACATGTAAGTGATCTTTTGCCAAAAGAAAGGGGTGAATATATATATATATATATATATTCCTCGGTAAAAGATCACATAGATCTTTCTTTTATTGGTATCAAAGCTATTGATATTTAATGTCATTAGTTATCTTTTCTCTCTATTGAATTTAAATGAAGATTGAGAATGTGATATAAGAAAGCTAATGACCTTTGTGGGAAAAAAAAAAATGCACCCACGGTTAAGAATTATTGAAATACTCCAACATCGAAAAAGCGCTCTGCAGAATGAGTATTCTGGGTTATTTTGGAGTAGTAATATGAATAAGATAATGATATATTTTTCTATTATATACTTCAGTGATATTTTGTGTATTTAAGAGTATGATCTACCTGAAAAATTTCAGTGGGAGATCCTAAGGGAATTGAGAGTTATGGAATCATCAATGAAGGGTGTTAGTTTTGACCCTGCAAAATCTAAGAACTATCCATTGAGTTCCGTGATTTTTCCCACCAATCATATGATTTTATTTTTTGCTAAAATTTCGTTATAACTCATAAAATTGAGTCTACTTTCAAGAAAAAAAAGTTTCATCAAGAAATTCCTTGTATTTTGAAAGATATGATCAATTCATTAAAGGGTACGTAAGTGTTATTTTCTGCAATGAAAACTATTTCCATGACTTGGAAGTTATGATTTTATTTTTATACTTAACAGAATGTTTTATGGTCCACACTAAATTTTTAGACTTCCATTCTGAGTCTATTTTCTAATAAAATTTATTTGAAAGAGAAATATCTACGGGAAGAGAGGAATAAAAATTTTGGATTGAAGATAGGTTATCCTGAATTTTCTGTAATTTGGTATGTTGTTCATTGAAGACATGAATATTTATATTTATCAAGCCTACTTAATAGAGTGATATAAGGCTTGTGAACATATATGTGTTATTATTATGTATCTAATTTCAAACAAAATTGGTTTGAATAGGAAACTCCATGAGGGTAGAGAGAAAAGACAATTTTACTAGATAATGTTAATCCTGGAATTCGGCAGTATGATTTATTTTGTGAAGTGAATGTCACTTATTTATTTCTTTGAAGAAAAGTATTATTTGTGATTAAAACTATGATGTTATGATTTGGTTTTGGATCTACTTTTCAACTCAAAAGATTTCAAGAAGAAATTATTTGAGGATTGAGAGAAACAAATTTTTTATTGAGAGGTCCTCAACCTGATTTTCAACTGAAAAGATTGGATTACGACGTAAATGTCACTAAAATGAATATTCACTAAATGGTATGATTTAGGGATGGAACTGAGCACTATTTTATATTCTTTTGAGTATATTTCAATACTCAAAAGGATTCGAAGATTAACTCTTTATGAGTTGAGAGATATTATATTTTTATCATGAGATGCTCAAGTTCTATTCTACAGTAAATTAAAAAGATGTGGCATGTTAAGACACATCTTTGGATTCCTAATTATGAAGGCCTTTGTTTTTGGCTCATTTAAAAAGGTTTTATAGTGTGCTACGAGTATGATTTATTATAATAAAACTTCAGAGAGAGGTGCTACAAAGTTGACAAGATATGACACTCTATGTTAAGAGTATTCGATCTGAAAATAGTAAAACGAAGAAGAAACACAATAGCTATAAAAACATCTTGGTTTCTTCGAAATGAAGGGACATATAGAGAGACTTGGTGGTAGGATAGAAACGATAAAGATCAGTGAGAGAATCGAAATTGTGATATTTGAAATAATGGGATGAAAAAGATATTTTCTTCACGGTGTAAGACAGGAGAATCCAAGTGCCGAAGAGATGGACACTTCGTGACATGTGAAACCAATGAGCAATATATTTTATATCAGTTGCGTGCACTTCCAAGATCACAAAAGCTTGCCAAACAAGTAAAAACAATGAATCAAGAAAGCCAGGTATCACATTACATGGTTTTAAGGTATGAAATCTATCCCACATTACATGGTAAGGTTATATAAGGAAATGTCATATAGGGAAAGATGATTCAATAACTTTGTTTAATGTGCATTAGTTATATTTTGCCTAATTGTTTTATGAATATGTATGGAGTGTATGAAGATTAAGTGATAAGTGCTAACAAATTTGAAAGTGTCGGTTTTGAATACCTTATTATTTTGTGCTTCCTTGTGCTTGAGTATGAACTACTTGAGGTAGTGATACACATGGAGATGTGATTTGATCAAGGGATTTGAGCCCTAAGGATGAAACATGAGAGATGGGTATGGCACATTCAAATATGTAAGCACAAAAGGAGTATTCTGATGGAACTTGGTTTTGGTAACGCCATCATTTCAATAATGTCTATAATATGATGTGTTGCATGTGATGACGAACTCTTGATAAATTCTCCATAATTGCCAAAAATGAAGTATTTTGTCAAGACTTTAGTAGACACTATTTAGCCGTGCTTTATTTTGGATGAAATTATAAAATGATATATATAATTTATTTTTATGGCTATGAACTTGACTTAGTAGGATACGGTAAAATGATTTATAAAGGCTAAACATGTATTTTATAACTAAATTGGATGATTTGAGAAAAACCTAATGGATATGGTTTTGAGAAAACCACATAGTCTTGCAAGGGCCATTAAGTTTTTATGAAAATTATTTTAAACTATCATACTTTTATATAACTATTGCTTGTGGATGCATATATATATACCAACTCAATTTTTTTTATTAAAAAGAAAAACATTATATCTTGAAGGTATTTATAAAAGTGGGAGAAAAACTATCATACACTGTTTTTTTTTAAAAATACCTATATGCCTTGACCCATGTTTCTAGTTATTTAGAATCTTCGATTACCTAAGACTTTGAACCATAGGGAATGTTGTAGGAATGCCATTATGTTGGGTTTCTCTAACACATATTGTGTTGATTAGATAACTTGGTTTGTATGAATTTATTACCAAGATGTCTAGTGTGGTTGAACCTTTGTGGTTCATTAAGGTTTTTGCGTATTGTGAAACCAACGGGTATTGAATTACATATTGCATGAGACTTGATATGCAACCTCATGATATATGTAGAAGAATGTTGAGAATGTATATGTTATATGTGTAATAATTGAGTGTGAGCTGCTACAATCCCACAGTTTTTAGTTGCCTGGATATTTAGATGTACAGGTGCAAGCTATCTCACAGATCCAAATGATGCGAAGTCTACATTTGGATATGTGTTCATGCTTGGAGGATGTGCAATTTCTTGAAAATCAAAGAAACAGGATGTGACGAAATTCTCCACCATGAAGGCAGAGTACATGGCGTGCTGTTTGGTGATCGAGGAGGTCGTATAGATTAAAAAATTTCTTAATCGACTTAACCTTTACCCCGTAGTAAGAATTTTCTGCGACAGCACGTTGATGATATGCATGTCAAAGGAGTCATGATTCCATAATAACTCCAAGCATATAAAACCATGTTTTAATCACCTGAAAAATGAGGCGAGATTGAAAAAGATCGAGATCCAGATAAACTAAATATTCCAGTGAGAGCAC